CATATTAACAGAAAAAAGTGGAAAAATGGCTGTCTCTGTTACGCCGAAGCACTCCATATTACTGTTCACTTGTTAAGTGCGGTGTGCTCATTTGTCCGGATAGCTTATCGCACATCCACCTTCGTTGCAACTTCGACTGCGCGTTTCAAGTACGGCCGATTCACGACAATAGCCTGTTTGACCCTTTGATCGAATAAATTTAGCGATCCGTAGCGCGCAAACCTTGTGATCAAAATTCATTTATTCATTATTATTATTATTGTTAGTATTATTACTATGGATAGTATTATTTGCTTATCAACATTCGAGAAGAAGTGCAACTGATTGTTTACGTATAATAGTAGCATCATTGAACCTAGCCGAATATGCGAACAAAAACGTTAAACGCGTACCCACATACTTCGACGGTCTACATTATATCTATAAAGTTATGGTTGGAAAAGCTATCATTACAACACCAAGCTAAAACGCAGTACACCGTGATAACATCAGATTAATGATGGCCACAGCGCGAATTTGGATGTGAGTGAAACGATCTACGAAGCTGACGGATCGCTTATTCACAATCAACAGTGATGGGTGCTCATCAAAGCACACTTTAGTTGACCGCCAGCGTCGGCTTCTCCCGCAGTTAGTCCGGCACGCTTCAAATGGTTTGTCTCAACAGACCCGCTTTTAGAGGCTGAACTCCGTTAGGAGATCCACACTTTGGGATCTCACAAGCCCTGGACTCCGACGGCCTTTCCTCAGCTATATTCGAAGATGGTGGAATGTAACTTGTGAGAGAATTGACGACTTTGTTCTCTAGAGATAGGCACATTGAGCAGGTCCCCTTCTCGTGGAAGAGGGAGTCGATTATCGTCTCCATCTTTAAAAGGGGCCCGCGCAGTGGCTGCCCCAATATGCACCAATATGGATGGCTATATGCCTGATTCCAATAGCATCCAGACTGTGACCATGCGGCATAACTCGGAGACTGTAGAAAAGGCATGAACAGGCTGGGTTTTGAGCCGGTCGTGGTTGCTTCAATCAAATCTTCGACCGCCGACAGTTGCTAGAGTACGTTCTCTGATCCCAAAATTACGACCCCACAATCGAAATGATTGTTCAAAAATGGAGCACTGGACAAGTGAGTCATACTCAAGGGGGAAATCAGGAACATGGTCAATATTCACCACTGTAAGAAGTTCCAAGTGCAGTTCCATGGAACTGCCCTATATCCCCAATCCTCTTCTACAGAAAACTTTGTCGGTTGACGGTTTGTGAAAGTTTCAAACCGCGTCACGACGTAGGAGCCTCTGTCTAACGGAATGGATTTGCGATGCCCGAAAAAATTGCAAACATGGTCTATCCCAAGTCGTGTAACTGAATGGTGGACTAATCAGCTGTTCCGTAGCCGAGCGGCTAGGAGGCCTCCATGACGACTTTCACGCTCCGGGTTCGATCCCTAGATCGCTCGACGCATTTGCACTGCTTGCGAGACTCAACCATGTCCAAACAACTGTACACTGCTTCTCAGCATTGCACTTTACGCTCCATACACGAACGAATCCCAACCCCACATCAAACTCAATTAAATCGACCATTTTCAAGCAACAAGTTAGCAGCTTGTGAAACGTTTCAACCAAGTGACACCCAGACAGACGAATGCTCAGATGAACCAAGCGCAATGCCTACGACAATCTCGGAAACATGATTTATGCTACATCGTGTGCATGAAAATGAACAGCGATCTGATCACTTTTTCCGCGGTCGAGTGGGTAGCATGATTCCCTGACGCCTTTCATGCTCCGGGTTCGATCAAAGCATTTGCACTACATGAGAGACCCGAATAAGCCCAAACAGCTGTACACTGCTTATAAGCTTTGCAATTCACGCTTCATTTTTACTCTGTACACGAGTGATTCCCCCTCTCACATCAAATTCAATCAAATCATCCACCACGTATTCTACAAGTAGTTAGGTGTTGAAAGCTTTTAATCGACTCATATCCCCTGAAGCTATAAAGTTGCTCCCGTGACATCTATTGTCAGTGATGGGATGCATGTTCTTCTAAGGGGAAATAAAAGAAAGCACAAGAGATACAATATATATTATTACAACATGTGAAGAGGGATTTATTCAATTTCGATCGACTTCTTTTTCTTCTTGTGCCCAGAAAGAGGTTCACAAATTACTTTCGGTGTTTGTCCGGTCCTGGCAGTCGATTCTATCAGTATTGTTTTGCGCTCCCTCTTCAGTGCAGGTGATGTATCTTCAACAGGGAAGGCGTTTGAAGACTCTGACGCATGACGCTCTCGCTTTTTCTTCTTCGCATCCAGTCCGTATGAAGGTTTATCCTCAAGATCGCCCAGTAGCTTGTTATTTTGAATGATTAGCTGTTCGGCATCATGCGTTGCATTATTACAGGTCTCTGCGGTCTGAGTGTCTTTAAATTTCCTTCTTTTAATCTTCTCGTCTGTCATCTGGACCTCACTTGTGGCTTCATCATTAACTGCTTCTGTGGATTCCATGAGGAGAGTGTTCAATCGCTGCTGCAGAGTTTTGATCGCCGTCTTTTTCATCTTTCGAATGAACAAGATCAGAAAAAGGTGAATGAGAAAACTTTACTACAACCGAAAAGCTGTATATGAACTGACCACATAAGTAGAACAAACATATACCACATACGGCCTCCGAAAGCCTCAGTATGATCCGTGGTGGGGTGTCGAGGTGCGACTGGCCACTCCTCCCTTGCGCCCAGCGAACTGCGTCTGAAATAGACTCTGCTGAGGAAGGAGGTGTTTTCTCACCAAAGTGAGAAGACGAAACGGAAAATATCTAGGATCAAAACCGGGTCGATTAAACCACTAAATATATATACCTATATATTCATATCCAGTTGTTCGCCGAGCTTGACAATTGTATTGCAAACTTTTCATCACCAATCGGGGTGATCTGATTGGTCAAGGTTTATTCGTCTTGTGCCGATAGGGATGAGGTGGACGCGAGCAGTCTGACGGCTGGCCGTTGATCGATCAATCTAAGTGTTACTATTTGTCCTGTCACATGTGACACGACCTACCTTTTTTGCGTTGATTGGTCCTTTTGTTGCATGGGGGTGTAGACTTGATCGATGTCAATTTGTCGGTTGACCCAGTTTTCCGATGAATGCCAAGCTTCTGGAAATTCTCTTGCGTGTTTGGCGCGCGCCTGATCGACGACTNGGAAGGAGGTGTTTTCTCACCAAAGTGAGAAGACGAAACGGAAAATATCTGGGATCAAAACCGGGTCAAATGAACCATTATATATATATTTCCAGGGAAATTTTGTCCAGTCACTTACATACTACTTTATTATCATATATATATATATATATATATATATATATATATTAACACATGTCTGAGGACAGACTGTGCCAAGCAAATCAGGGTACAATAGTTTACGTAAAAAAGAAAAAACGTTCCATGATTGGCTTGTGGGCGGAGTACTACCAGGTTGCTCAGGTCAAAGCAGGTGAGTTTTCTTGAGGAATCCACAACCGGAGCCTTCGGCTAGCCAAAACCTGACCCGCAAGGCAGCGGGGCGGTGTGAAAACCGCAGTTCATTAGGAGCCAGTGTCCAGTTCTTCGGATCATACGCCTTTCGGACGGGATCAAACGTCCAAGGTGCCCAATACACCTCGATGCCCAATTGAACTGGTGAATACTACCACAACCAAAAAGTTGTGTGGATGTGGTTCGTACGCCTCCTCATGGTTGGTTTGGAATCAGGGTTTTTAGCTAACTCCCCTAGATGAACTGCCAATGGTCCACCAACCTGGTTATAGCCTCGGCTTTTCGTCCTCTCACTTTGGTGGGAATACACCTCCCCCACGAGAAGGCAGTGAGTAGTTTCCTCAGCAGGAGCTATTCAAGACGCATCGTCGTATGGGAGCATTTCGCGAGGTTCAGGTGCAGGGTGACCAGTCACAACCCTAGACACCCACCCCCGACCATACTGAGACTTTCGGAGGCCACTGGAAGTTTACCTAAGGGAGTTGGATACAAACTCTGACTCCAAACCAACCAAGAGGCGTACGAACCACACTCACCCACACCTTCCCGGTTGTGGCAGTGATCACCGGCTCATTTTGACAAAGAGATGTATTGGGCACTTCGGACGTTTGACTCTGTTCCAGGAGAATATATAATCCGATGAACGGAACACCAGCCCCCAATGGACTGCGATTTCCCCGAAACGCCCCACTGCCTACTAAACAATACATGCGGCGTTCCAACACTCATTTCTGTAATCGTGACATTATGATTAAATGTTACCACTACTATTCGGCAAAAGGTAAAAATTTTCAGCTTTCACAATCATTAACTGTGCGTTTCGAAGCGCCAGTTATGGTTGCTGTCTTTTGGCTTCCCATTTGAGTAAAAGAGCAGAATGAAGATTTCAAGTTCCAAATTCTGGAGGGAAGACAGAGAATATATGTAGGCTCCGGCTGCTAGTCGATGTACGAGGCCACTGCTTGCGACACCCAGGCATATCACTCAGTCTCTTACCACCG